TCTTGAAATTATGGGAGTAATTAGACTTTGGAAGGATGAAAAGGACCTAAAAAGGCACAAAGGGTTTGTTCCATTTAATTTGGGCCTTAAAATTAATATTATTAGGTATTTTTCAAGAAATCAGGTGGGATTGGTTTTTTAATTATTTAAAGCTAAAGATATGGTTAATAATTGATATTTTTTTTTGAATCATATAAAACTATTTAATGAGAACTATGTATTGAGCTAACGAACTTATTGATCTAAATAGGAGTTCAATTCTCCTTAAATAAAATTTTGAATTCGAGTTTTATGAGTGGGGAAATAGATGCTAAAAGAACTTTTTTTCTTATGAGATCTGATTTGACTTGACTCTAAATTAATTAGAATTTAATGTAACTTTTGGATACTAAACGATTTAATAAAAAAAGACTATATATTAAAATAAAAAATTTTAATTGTCACACATATACTATATAAAAATATAGATAAATAGAAATAGATATGAAATACAAATTTAGTCTAACTTAATGCTAGTTTTCTTATAATTTAGTAATTCATGACAAATAGCATCAATGCCATTAATACACCTTTGATATAGGTAAATATTTATTTCTTTAATTCATATATCAAGGTTCTAGGGTATGGTATGCTGGGTTTGAATCTTTTCTTCCCAAATTTCATGAAAGGAAGAGTTTTCTAATTTGTCATTTTCTTTCTCACGTGCTTTGATTTAGAAATTCTTTTCCCAACGTAAGCGTTCGATTCATACATACATGTACGGTAATCAAATACGGCGCAAGGACAATTTTGTGGAATCACCACTTGCTCACTTCATAATGCTAAAAAAATCCAAACTTTTGTCAAACACATCATTTTCTTAATGACTTTTTAAGAGTTCGAAAATTTTCTTCATCGCTAAAATTTTATTAATATCCATCAATAACAAAATTCAACTATGGCCAGCAATAAACATGCGTAAACACAAATCAAAGCCTTTTACTTTGTCAAAATCCATGACTTTGTCCAAAAATACTTGTCTTTTCTGAGTCTTGCATATATAATTAACACAACTCTGAAATGGAGAACATGACAAAAAAATGGAGGAGAAGATGAGTGGTACTGTTTCTGCGTCCAAAAACAATGGAGAAAGTGATGTTTTGTTACCGGGGTTCCGGTTCCATCCAACTGATGAAGAACTTCTAGGGTTTTACCTCAAAAGGAAGGTGGAAAAGAAACCTCTACGTATCGACATAATCAAACACATTGACATCTACAAGCATGATCCTTGGGATCTTCCAAGTATGTACATCTCCTTATTTACGATTAATCCATCAGTTTAGGCATATGCTTAGTTAGCTGCATTTTAGTATGACCAGTAAGTACTCGAGAATCGAGATTTTTTTAAGTTAATTATTAAGTATATATCAACTCAGCAAATCTCTTATTGGTATATTTTTCTTCTTATGTTGTTATGTTATATATAGCAGAAGTGAGCAAACCCAGCACCATAAGCGAGAAGGAGTGGTACTTCTTCTGTCGGAGAGGGAGAAAGTATAAGAATAGCATAAGGCCCAACAGGGTCACAGGATCAGGATTCTGGAAAGCCACCGGCATAGACAAGCCTATCTACTCCACCGGTGACTCCCACGACTGCATTGGCCTGAAGAAAACCCTAGTCTACTACCGGGGAAGCGCCGGCAAAGGCACCAAAACTGATTGGATGATGCATGAATTTCGCCTCCCAACCAGTATCAAGAAAGACAACTTTCAGGAAGCTGTAAATAATATCAATCTTACTAAAAGTTTCTGTTATATTATTTATATGCTTCTGTCTACAATTAAGCTGTGAATTGTTTTCCTTCATGGAATTTTGCAGGAAGTTTGGACACTTTGTAGAATTTTCAAGAGAGATGTTTCGTATAGAAAATATGCATCAGATTTCCAGAAAAGTTATTCCAAGCGAGACACTGCTGCTTCCACCAGCTCTAATGTTGTTAGATGCAATTTTGAGTCGAGCAACGGGGTTAGGGTTAAGGATATCGATATGGAGCTTGTCAAAGATCATTTCCATAGCAGGAACCAAATGTCTGCAGCAGCAACACATCAATTAGCTCCATTCCCAGTGTCATTTTCACTAGAAGAGAGCTGGGATGAGCTAAGGCCAGTGGTTGAGTTTGCTCTTGATCCAACAGTGCTCTATATATAGTTGCAGATGGAATGGGTAATTACTAATTACTTTGTTTTCAATTTGTAGACTCAGATAAACAAATAATTTCAAAGGGACTGTAATGAACATACCTCAAATCTTCTTTTGCCCCTATTTTCCTACGTTTTTCTCTTGGCCTGTAATTAACAGCAGTGATGCACAGCATACGTACTTGCTTTCTCTCTCTCTCTCTCTCTCTCTCTCTCTCGCTCTTTTTGGTAATTCTTCATAGAAATAATGTTTATCAACTAAATTTGCGTATAATTAAGCAAAAAATATTTTACAAATACTTCATTTTAGTAAAATATCATAAAAATCAAAATAATATCATTCTTAATTTAAAAACTATTTTATTTTAATTTTTTATTAAAAATTTATTAAAATAACATAATTTTAAAATCTATATTTTTATTTTTTTACAATTTCAACTGATAAACATTTTTCTGTTCTTCATATTAAAATTTTAAATATGATACAAATTTAGGCTCCGTACCCAGTAATTTACAAAAACATAAAGGGAAAATGAGAGGATTGCACGTCTCTGCTTTAGACTCTGCAATCATGGAAATAAAACAGACAGCTACAAAACTATTGCTAGCTTCTAAATAGGAAAAATAGGAGCCAGCAAAACAATTCAAGTGTACGAAATTTTTAGAACAACACACGGTTTGATTTCAAGAGTTAATCAGCTATTCTTCCGAACTTCATTTTGCCATCATCCAAAATGGTCATGCTCTTTCTCTTCTTAGATAACTTTGTTGGATTCTGAAATCCGTTTTGTTCATCTGTGAATTGAGCAGCTGTTCGTGCTCGTAACTCTTCCAAGCTCTCACCTTCCTTTGCTCTTTCTATTACCTGAAGATCAAGATCACGGGAATAGTTATGTTACAGCTTGTAAAAGCTAAGCACTGACCCTTTTTGTTTATCAAAAGAAAAAAAAAAAAATTAAGGCTGTAATCTGGCTTTCTTGAAGACTTACCAGATGCCGACCATAAAGATGGGTGTTTGAAAGTGCTTTAAGTGCGTTTTGTGCCTCTTGTTTTGTAACAAACTCGACAAATGCAAAGCCTCTATGGTTTCCAAATTTCATTGGCAGCCGTACGCTTTTAATCTGAACAAGATGAAAATTGAGAGTAAATCAGAGAAACAGCATGAACCTTCCAATCTAATATATATGGAGGGAGTTGTGTGTCATTTTTTATCGGTTCAATATGTCAACCTGCAAAAATTTACCTGGCCAAACGGGCTAAATAGCTGTCTCAAATCTTTTTCTGTTGCCTCAAAAGCCACATTTCTCACTAGTAACTTCGTTGTACTTTTGTCCTTCTCAACATTTTTCACTGCTTGTTCATCTTTCTTGGCATGACAAAGTTGCAGGATAAGAGCATGGCCATCCAATATAGTTCCCTAAAAGACAGGAATATCAAAAAGAGAGATTATTTCTCTAGATGTTGGAATCATGTTCTGGTATCATAGATTTAAACTTAGTTACCTGTAAATCACTACAAACTCTTGTTGCTGTCTCCACAGAATCAAACTCAATAAAACCATAACCCATTGAGACTTGCTTGCCATTCTTCAAGTGCTTCTTTACCTGCAAAAAAATGGAACAAAATCAAAAACTCCATAATTGTAAGAAGGGTGCATGTGATTGATGCTCCAAGGACAAAGTAATTACCCTAACACTTTGTATTTTGCCCTCCATCTGTTCACTGAAATGCTTTTTCAGGCTCTCATCTGAAGTCTTGAAATTCAGGTTCTTGATAAATAAGGATCGCGACTGAGGCAGCAAGGTAAAGGGTTAGTGGCTCAAAACAGAACTTGAAAGCAATAACAACATAACTACACAAGAGGCACACTTTCGACTCCAACCCAAGGGTCAATTCCTTTTGCAGTTATGGATTTCCAAAGAAAAATTACAAATGAAAACCCCAATTTTGACATGGCAGTGTAAATGACATCAACATCCTGTTAAACGATGCTGGGCAAAACCTTTCAAGTTACAAGCAATTATTCTGATTCTTTCCTATTCAGAAATCAAATTTGATATCTTCTATAATTGCTCTTCTAACTCAATTACTTTTCGCAGTCATGATTGGGAGTTTTATTCTCAATGGGAGCAGAGGGAAGACTTCATCTAGTTATAAAGTGACAGCTAAAGGTATATTACACACCTCAATTCTATCAGGATCAATATCCATATCTGAAATTCCTTCCACACGTTGCTCCAGAATTACTCTCTTGGCATCATGTTCTCCAACAGCTTCAATATTCTTTTCATCATCTTTGGAAGCAGACTTTGGACTAAGAATATTACCAGGAGCCCACTCCAAATATAATGGAGCATCCCTATAAGAAATAACACAAATAAAAATTCTTAAGCATAGATGGTCTAATCTTGAAACTCTTTATCATACTTTTACTAAAGAACACAAATAACATTTAGAATAGTTATGAGGGACAACCTAATGGGAGATAATATAAACTTACTTGTAACGTTTGTACGCTAAACCTTTAAATGCTGCACGAGCTTCAGCTGGTTCTAGGAAAACAACCTGAAATGTCATAAAGAAAATCATTTAAGGAAACTATCAAGAATTATAACATGTAATTCACTAATAGAGAGTCGATTCTATCAGTTTCCTCTTGTTTCCATCGTTGACACATTTAAACAGTCAGGAAAAAAAGTTCATCAAAGAGTAGTTTACTCTTAAACAAACAGGATGCAGAAGAAAGGCTTTGTAAAGTCATAAAAAAAAACTAGAAAATGGGAACCATCACCAATGAGTTCATTTCAAATTATCAGATAATGTCATCTTCTACTTATCCAAACCTGGAAAATCATAACAAACATGGGCCAATAAACCTGAACTTAGAAAGGCCCAAGGACATTGTGATAGCCTGAAAAAACAAGTGTCAAGAAACCCAAGGCAAATAATCACTATACATTAGGATCAATCAAACCAGTTTCACATGGTATAACCTCTAAGGTCCCTCTTTTCATGAAAGAGCTGAAACACTTCTAAGGATGGCCAACAATTCTCCATAAAAAGCAGAGGATTAAATCCATATCCATTGGCAACAGAATAGTGCAGCAGATTGGTCTATTAACTTTCATTCCCCTTGCACGCAAAATTACTCACTAGAAATGGAAAAAGATTGAGGTGGAGAAACCAACAAGGTTGTGCCTTGGAATATAATTATCATGGGATCACAACTTGGATACTGACTAACAAAAATCAATATGGCAAAAACTTAAACAAAAGAGAAGGGGAAGTTATGGAGACTTAATTCTTACCAACGCCAGTGTTTTTGAGGAAGGAAGTATAATCTTGTCTAAACTCCCAAATTTCCCAAACATATTAGCCAGTTCATTTTCAGATGAGCCATAAGGCAAGTTCTTCACTAGGAGGACATGGTTGCTTCTTTTCATTACATCTGTTTTTCCAGCAGCAAATTCCTCCAAAGAAGTAACATTAACCCCGGCATTTGCAAGGGCTTTCTTTGTATCTGCAATCACTTGAGTTTCCCCCAATGCAATACGTACAGCAAGATCATCAGCTTCTCGGTCAAGTAAATCACTTTTACTAACACCATATTTCCTAGCAATGTTTTCAACAACCTATTAACATCCAGGAAACGTCAAGAGGTTAGGCTAAACTTCAGATGATGATGCAGTGAACACAGAAGGCACTGCAGCACAGCACAACCAAAGGCCTAAATTGCTGCCATAGCTAATAAAAAAACAGGACAGTAAAAATAGATTTTGCTATGGTAGCATAACTATTGTGATATCAGTACACTAACGGTAACAGTCTTAACTATAATTAATAAATGGAAATTTAGGAAGGATTACTCTTATTTTATGTAACATTTTTGCCTTTTTTTTTTTTTTTTGATATCAGATAATAGATGTCATTTTCCTCAATTTAACCCCTCAAAAGGATTAATGCTTTTTTCATTTTTTACATTAAAAAAAAAAAATCATGAGGATGGCCATAAATCCACACATTTATGGCTGCAGACACAAATTCCTCAATCATCTGATGTGGAGCCCACATGACTGGAGGATGGGTGCAAACAGCCACTTTACCATGGTCTCAATCTCGATATAAAGGCAAACTAGGTCAAAAATTATATCCTGCTTCACTTAAAAGTACATGCAAAGTCAATTCTACATTATATGGATGAAATGAATAGAAATTGCAAAGAACAAGTCCAAAAAATTGCAACATTCATAATTTTGGTTGAAACATACCGTATCAGGACGCATGAATAGACTATTCCAAGCTCTTGTGTCTCCACTAGCTTCAGCTGCCTTCCTTTCTTCCTCCCTTTTCTGCTTGAAAGTTTTTGAACTTTGGGTTGTGGAAACAGCAGCCCTAAAAAGTAACCTCCAATAAGTTTACTACATTTCTTCTTTTAAAATAAAGAACAAAAAAGAAGGAAACAAATGATGGGGAACTTGAAAGCAACAGAGCCTAATATAAATTAATGCTGCTTACACTTGTTTGTTGGATGTGTCTTTTGCTTTTGCTGGCATGACATGCAATAGTCTGCCCTGAAAAATTGAATTGTCTAATTCTTCTAATGCCCTGAACAATTAATCCAAAAGAAAGGCCAGAACAAGCTCATTAGCATTTAAGTATTGGAAAATGAAAACTGTGAGTTTAGTCGTTAAGCAATACAAAGTAAAAACAGAAAACTTGTGCTACCCAACCTAATGCAGAGCTAAATGATATGCAAACTACAAAGGAAAATATTTTCCTTAAAAATCATTAGATACTGTCAGAAAGACAGAAGGCCCAATTCTTGACATTTTTTAATGGATAAAATGCCATACTAAAATGGAAATAATGTAGCAGAAGGATAACAAGACTAATTATAATAAGGAAAAAAAAGTACTCATTTAACAAGCACCAACCATTAAAGTGGACAAAGACATTCCAATGTTTTAGCCACCAGTCTCCCTTTTGCAGATACTTCAGACCAATGGAAGAAAGCTGCACCACCTCTCAATGCTAAAATCTCCTATCATTTTTAGGAATCTGGCAAGTTCTATTCCTCAAAATTCCCATAAAAAAGGGATATGTACAAGCTACACAAGGGCAATCTCCTATCATTTTCTTTCCCCAAAAATACTTCCCCTCAATCATTTTACAAAAAGAGATCTATGGAGGAGTTTTGCCTTAGCTCCTAAGTCTTTGGAAGTTTCCCTAATCAACATGCCAAAAAAAGAATAACCAATGGAGCTTCAATGTTTGGCTAATTGCAGAACCTCCATTTCAAAACGCATGACAGACTAAATAGTTTCTACCATTCAAACAAGAAAAAGAAGAGGCATTGATAAGATCAAGCCATAGATAAATGCATGGGAAGTGTTAGAACTCAGCCATAGATAAATCTTAGCATGCAATGCATCCTCATGCAAGCTTTACTTTACGGCGTGGTGATCAGAAGAATGCAGTATTTTGAAGTCACACTAAAAACACATTTCTTCTAGTTATACCTCAGCTAAGAGATCAACTTTCATATGCCTTCAGTTTAAGTTAAAATTAAAATCAGCAGAATAAGTAGAAAAAACAATGTCACACCAATAAGTACCTTGCCGCAGACTCTTGAAGTGAGTAAAGGATGTATGCAATTCCCTTGGATCGTTTTGTATCTTTATTAACAACTACATGGACCAGTGAGACAGTGCCAAATTTGCTGAAGAGCTCCTCCAGCTCATCTTCACTGTTGAATCAAAGAAATTCAAGGAGAATTGAGAAAAGGAAAGATCATTAAGATAAAATGCCATGTTTATAAAAGAATAGGATAGGGAATAAAGCTATCTGCAAAATAACATACGTTGCTGTATATGGCAGATTGCGGACAAAAAGACGACCAGTTTCAAGTACTTCATCTTTATCATCTTTCAAAGTTGATGATGGGTTCTCCGGGTCAAGAATTTTGCCATCAGCATCTTCTGAAGGACCTTCTTCAGCTACATTCTTTGAGAGGCTATCTTGAGTTCCTTTAAAATCTTTATCAAGGCCTTCCTCAGGAAAATCACTGCCATCATCACTTTTTCCACCAACATCCTCATTTGTATCATCAATTTCTGCATCACTATTACTAGCATCATCCTCACTTTCTGAGTCAGACCAATCTTTCTGCACTCTGCTTTTGAAATACTCCATGTCTGAAATGACATCATCATGTGCAAGATTCTTTGATTTTTCAGTTGCATTATTTTCTGTTGGTATGTTGGTTTTAGTTTGCTCAACATCAACAGAAATAGACTTCTTTTTGCCTTCCTTCTTTGTCATTGTTTCCTTCTCAATAACTTTGTCATTTTGGTTTGCTGAAGGTGCAATTGTCATGTCATTTGCCCACATTTTTGAGTTGACCCTTGGCTGCATAACTTCAAGAAATTCTTGAAGCTGAGGATCATCATTCTTGCTGTTGTTAACACTCATAGTCTCTCTGTTAGCACCAATAAGGCTGGAACTTTTAGCACTAGGAGTTTTGTTTCCACGTTCAATCACCTTCTCTTGTTTCTTTGAGGAATATCGACTCCATGGACGAGGAGCACTTGGATCTCCAACTTTGCGAGCAATCTGAAAGAAAGAAAATGATCTTGTTGCTTTGCAAATTTAAAGTGTTCCAACAATGTGTTTGTCACCATATAAGTGGACAATTTCAACTTTGAAAATTTGCAATACTAGGGAATAATAAAATTTTCATTAACCTGTAAAGTATCCATTTTCATTGTCTAGTGTCTACAATGCTGTGCTTATCTATGATTTTTAGACAAGCAGAGATCAATTACAATACATCTATGTATTCTGAGGCTTTACCTTTTAAGACTATATATGATCACGCGACAGCAAGCTAGGGCTACATCTTTTCTATTCAAGACATACAGTTTTGTAGGCTGATACACCAGAATTTTGAAATCAAGCAAATGGGAAGAAATTATTACATTCCAAAATCCATCATTATCTTCCTGAATCCTATGTTACCTAACACGCAGGCATCCTATTTAGCATATGTGGTTTGTGCATCAATACTAATACACATTGACTGCAATAAGAAAGGCAAATCCACCAGATTGCCCAAAATTCCAAAACTTAAAATAAATTCAATGTGCCTTTAAAACATCCAATGTATCAAAATAACTAAAAGAGCAAACTTTAACATCACAAGATTTTCTGCTCTCTATTTCGAGTAAATGAAGTTAGAACTATCCTACAAAAAGTGCGCATACCTCACATGTGATCCTAAAAGTATCAAGATAAGACTTGTTAAAGTATTTGATAGCTTCCTCAGCTTCGTGCTCCGTCCGAAACCCAATAAAAGCAAATTGTCTGCTTTTACCTTCTCTGAAAACACATATATACACAACATCAGTACTCCCAATTTCTCCAATTCTATATATAAAAAAAAAGGTAACGAACAAAATTTGTTGATGAATACTTGGTGCGCATGAGCTTGGCATCTGTAATTTCTCCTTTCTGTGAGAAAAACTCTCGGAGCCGATCCTCAGCAACATACTTCGGCAGATTCTTCACACAAATTCGAGACCTGCAAAAAGAACAGAGGTAAATTCGAAAGAAGAAATCAAAGGAAACGAGAGAGAAGAAGAAACCATACTTACATTCTTTCGAAGAGGAAAGCTGGAGAGAGAGGGTTCTGAACTTGGAAGAGAGACGGCGGTTGAAGCTTTTGTTGTTTAAGAATGGAGGAGGCGAGGCGGCGGATTTCGAGCTACTGTTTGTGATTTTAAAATCAGTCCTCAAACTAATAACATTTTATTGGATTTACCTTTACAACTTTGTTTATATTCGTTAACACCTCAAACTTTTCATGTCAAGCAAATAAACCCTAGTTCGTTAAGTTTTTCAGTTGACAAGAAATGAGAACACAGGCAAAGTCAATGGCTTCCTCATCCTCCTACATGTCCGCGAGATCATCTTCTACCCACAGAAGATTTGCTCAAACCTCAGCCAACCAGGCGGCTCCTGGACCTCTCCACCATGACGTGGACCCAGCTCCAAACCCAAAACCAGTTTTCCGGTTCCTAGCATTCGGGCTCATCATTTTTCTGGGATTCCTCCAATACTTCTTACCCGCCACCCATTTCCGGGACCCTTCTGATCCTCTCAGAAAATGGATTCCACTCAATTCCTCTTCCTCTTCTTCAAATGTAAGCCCCCCTCCCCCCCTTTTTTTTTTTCATTTTCAATGGCATAGCGTTTTGAATTTTCAGTCAATGGTTTATGAAAGATTATTGTTTTATTGTTGGATAAATTTTGATGCAGTCGAGAAATTCTGGTGATGGAAGCTCCAGTTCAATCTCAAGTAATGATGGAGATGATGGAAAGGTGCACGTCGTGTCATGGATTGAATGTCTTGACCTTCGAATGCTTGCAGTACTTGCAAATTCAACTCTATCAAACTCCAAGTATGTTCCTCAGTATAGTGGCATACATTGTTTCTGAATTATAAGTTAGGGTTTTATTCTTAGACGAATACTCCTAAGAGGGAAGTGTGATGCTAAGTTTTAGTGTAGCGCAGTTAACATGCTTATGATGTTTCCTTTTTTTTTTTAATTTTTTTTCAATTTGATCTACGACATAAAGACATTGAAACTTATATCAATGGAAGGAAAAATTGGTACCAGTCACGTGAAAAAATTTAGTAAAACCTTCAGTTATGTTTAGATTTCTCATAAAATGTAAGTGGTTTGGATTCTTAGTGAAACATTGTTTTATTAAGAATCTTTGAAAATCCTAGCCTTTTCATTAACAATCTTCAGTTTTCCCCTCATATGTCTTACTGTATCCATATCTCTTTTACTGCTTGAACCTTTTCAAACTGGCTTTCTAATTGATTAATGATACTGTTAGTCTCTCTTAACACTGTTGTTATGGATCTTCCTGGGACATTTCTCATCATTTAAGCAACCAGTCTTAACCTGTCTTTGCTTTTCTTTTTGAAGATCCTTTTACTGTGGGCTTGAGTAGGGGTGAAAAGGGTACCAATTACTATCAAAACATAAGATCAATGCTTTCAGTGGGAATAGAATGCTACATAGCAATGTCAACAAAAAGGGGCTTCTTTCTCTGCCTTGTTGACATTAGTTTGGAGTTATTAGTGAGATTTTTGGTAGATGATTTAGGCCAGACAACCATGTATAACGTGTGGGGGATTTTTTTTTTTTCATTTTTCTTTTTTTCTGGATATCTGTAACATTTGATTTTCTGTAAGATGTTTATGTGGTATCTGTCTGATACCATATTTGTGGTTGAAACTAAGCATGTAGTACCTTTTTCAGTCTTCATGTGCTCTTGAACAAGTTTAGTTAAGTTTGCTAAATTCTTGTAGTTTCAACCTTCTGTTGTTTTCTTACACATTTTCCATGCTTCTTTGACATCCAGATATCCAGATTCACTTTATTTTCATTTCTTTACACCTGAGGGGAATAAAGACAGAGTTTCACTTTATAAGTTGAAAGTATTATTTCCATACTCAAATATTGAAATCCATGGGTAAGTTTTCTTTTTTTTTTTAGCAGGAACTTGTATCTATGTGTCTGTATTGACGTTATTGGAAAAATATAGGCAGGAGGAAGTGAAAGAACTAGTTAAGACTGCTACTTCTGAGGCAGAGTATGCCAAACTCAATCTTGAGGAAATAGCACCTTTTGTCATACCAAGCATCCACCAGTTACTGAGAAAATTCATTTTTATCTCACCAAATGTCATTTTGAAGGTTGGTTTCTTCTGCTCTGTTTCAGTTTTGTATCATTAAATTTTGCTCCAGTTTGTTTTAGGTCAATTTACTAAAATGTTACATGAAAAATGTAGGTAGTGTCCTGAAATTTGGGTCTAACATAATGACAGTAGTATGCATATATCAGCTAAATTTTGCATTTTCTGTACCGTCTTTTGTACGTAATGGGCAATTAGTAGCTATTTCTTTCCTTTGACTGCCAATATATTTCTAATGCTATTTGCATAAGCCACTATGCAGTTTTCATGATACAATTAAGAAAATAATAAATTATCCCAAGGGTATTATTCATTGTGTTATTTTCCCTTTTGAGGGTTGAATTTGTGTTTTTATTCAGAAATCTGCTTGTATTGCAGGGAAGGATAGAGGAAATAACTGGAGTTGGTTTAAGCTTGCATGCTATTGCAGCTGCTGAGGATTGCTCTAAAAGATTGAACACTTACGTTAATTATCATGTTTTGGATGCTATTCAAAGATCAGCCTCAAAGCCTTGGGTACCACAGACAAGTTATCCAAAAGATGCTTGTATGCCTGACTTAAGTTTGCTACTGATTGATGCAAGAAAATTAAAAAGGGAATTTCTAGAGGCTATCTTGTGGTGGAGTAAAGTTCTGAATTGGAGTGAAAGGTTTTGTACTCCTCTCCCTATAATACTCACAATTATTAATATTGATTTACAGTTCAATACTACTGATGACATTGTTTCCAATTTTATATGAACTGCTTAAAATAATGCTAGTAAAACATGCAAATGAGCTGCTTAATTCTTTTTATATGAATGTAATATTTTTTGGTTTCATACAGAGTAGTTGAACAATGTTTTCTCTTTCCTGTTATTAACTCCTTTTCCCTTTTTATCTTTGTGGGCTCATACAGGAATGGTAAAAAGAATCCAGCAATTGCCTTGGTACTCCACAACAGATATCACAAGCTTTCTGATTCTTGGTTAGTCAAGGATTCAACTTCACATGAAGTCACGAATATGAGTATGATCATTAATTATGATGGGCCCAAGATTGCTTGCTCTGAATATGGAGGTGGCATCCACATCAATCAACAATCATATGATGGAAATTTATGGAAGCAGTACCTTCCTCCAAAGTCAGATCGGATCTTCGATGGCTAGCATTTCACTTCTGCCCATGAAGTGGATAAGTTGAATGAAATTTGACTGGCCTTATGCTTTGCGTGAAGTTCAATGCATAAATCTACTGAAACTATGGACTTTGTTCATAGGTTTTACATGTAAAATGCCAAGCACATTGCTATTGTAAGATGATTGATATATTTCATGAATGTAGACATAACCGTTATATATCATTTCAGGAATGTAAAATGCTAAGTGCATTGCTAATTTCACGTATTGTATACTCTGATATCAATGGGTTCTGATGATTGATATATTTCAGGAATGTAGGCATAACTATTTTTCCATCAATAAGACTGAATCTGTACTTATTTCAGATTTCTGAATTTGTAAGTGCATTGCTATCCTAAGATGCATAGCATTGAAAATTTATTTTCATTTCAGAGCTAAATTGTACATGTAGAAAGGCAGTGTGGTTTCTCAAGAAAATCCCAAATGGGCAAGTTCAATTTGCTTCAGGTTAGTGATTTGTTAAGATTACTTAACCAGATCTCATATTTGATGATGGACTGGAAAAACACAATATTGATAATGTTTGGAAAGATTCAGGTTTTATAAGGGAGTTGATTTGGTTTGTGGTTCATTTTATTCATTCTCCTCAATTACCTTCTATTTTTGAGAATATATTTCTGCATAAACTTGTATGAGGCTTTTATGTAACTAAAGAGTCATTATATTGCTCGCAATTATACAACTTCTGAGCATTGTGTTTATGGCAACCACTACTGCTTTCTTTTTATATTATCTGGCTTGCCTACCTGTGTATGACTAGGGATGGAATTTTCTTTTCTGATATTACAAAGGATGAGATCTTTGTGTATCTTCTTCGCACTATTAGCTGTTATGTGAACTGCCCATTAATCACTGATAGATGCCCTTTATTGTCGTCACTTGTCACCCTTGCCGCCTTGCCTGCAGGCGATGATTTTCATGGCAATGTTTAATTGTAGCTGCTATGTGGGGACTTTGGACTTTGGACATCAATTATAAAAGTGTTGCCGGTTTATATGTTTTCTTCTAGTTAGTGTTATCTTCTAGCTGGCAAGCTCTAGGTAAACCTCCTGGACAAAGTGCATAAGGATCATTTATAATCCACCAAATGATAGTTTTCTGCACCTCGACTGCTGTCCTTAATGGATTCTCAAATGTCACTGTTTTTTTCTTTACCATATTAGAAAAATTACAAGCATAACAAACATTAATTACCTTTGCATTGAGCTCAAAATCCTAGAGGGTTATGATTTGCGATTAACCTTCTGTGCTTTTTGTTTGTTCTTGTACTTTTGAGACTGTTTCTTTTCTGTAAGGAGACTGTTTAGTACTTCTTGTACTCTACTTGTGTTAAAAAAGCTTCTTGTTTTTCCAACCAAAAAAAATTACCTTTGTGTTGTTATTAGGACAAGAAAAGATTATTAATTTCCTCTATGGTTTTAAAATATTGCAATGTTGGCCTCTTCTAACGAGGGGCATATCACCATATATCCATGGTTTACTCATTCTGGCCCTGCTATAATTAACATCTTTAAGGCCTTTGGACAATGCTCATCACTCATAAATATGCTAGCATAGGAATAAAATAATTAAATACTAGCCAGCTTCATGAAATGATAATTTAAATTTGCCCAAGGGTTTGACTTAACTGGTTAAGAGTTTAAGACTCTAACATATTGTGATTCAGAGATCGTTCTTCCCCATCGATGATCACGTGCTTCAAGAGATGAAACACAGCAAGAAAGATGTCACAGATAATCAAATGTGGTTAATGGAGCAGAGGAACTCCCAGAAGTCAACTCACTTTGGGTTTTCAGCAAGAGTTGACGCCAAATTTGTTTCTTCCAAAGAGCAGTTGAGGAAAGAGAAATCATCTTATCTATAAATCACTGAAAAGCAGTCCATTATTCTAAAAAATTTTGCCTTTTCTAGCCTATGTTCTTGGGCAAAAGCATATTTTTAGCTTTTTATTTTACTAAATTTATAGATTTTAACCTTTCATCTTATACTGTGATATTTTTAGTCTCTAACCTATTAAAATAAAAGAAAATAACACTCAACATTTTGTTAATTTTGTTAGTTAACTGTTAACTCTATTAGTTAACTATTAGCTGACAAAAACTTATTTTTAGTTAATAGAGTTAACATTTAGCTAACAGAACTATTTTGCTAGAAGACTGTTAATTTTATTAGTTGACTTTTAATTGGTAAAAATTTACTTTTAGCTAACAGAGTTAACAGTCAGTCAATAGAGTTAATAAGCAGTTAACATAACTAACGAAATATTATAAAATGAAGGCTTTTTTCTTTGATTCTAATAGATGAAGAATTAAAAATGTTATAGTATAAGGTGAAGTGTTAAAATCTACAAACTTAACAAGATAAAAAGGCCAAAAATGGTTTTTGCCCAGTGCCCACTGTCAATCACTCTACTATTGAAAAAAATTTAATTTAAATCTTCAACTATCAATTCATTTCATGTCATCCCTCTACTATTATTTAACTTCACATGTTCCCCTCGTATTATTGAAAAACTACGAGCATTGAAACATCAATATTATGCTTTAGTTGTATGGATGCAAGTCCTTAATACCCATTTCCTTAATCTTGTAGATGCCATATAATTTTATAATGGTAATGCTCTCATTTATAGTATTATTGATTAAAAAAACCTCCTTTTTCTTTTATTTTCTTCAAATCAAATACACTATTAATCCATTTTTTAAAGCTCACTAACACATAAGCATGTAATATAGAATGAGAGGAGCGAATTAAGCATGATTACAATTTTTGGGAAAAAATAAAACTAAAAAAGAACTTTTCCCAGAAAAAAAAAAAAACTATTAGGGCTTGGGCCGATTTTCCGTTTTTTTTTTTTAAAAAAAGGGCTGTACAATTAGGTCTTTGCAGTATATATTACGCTTCTGTCCAACCTCCCTCTTCCTCTCTTTCGGACTCCCTGTACTCTGTAGCTCCGCAAGGAGAGGTGGATTTCAATTGAAGACCCAAACCGGCGACACGCAGAGTGCTGCCGTCGAGAAAGTCTTCATATTCTTCTGTGATTTTTCTGGGAGTGCAAATATATATCTGTGTCCTCCAATTTCCAGTGTATCGGTAATACGTCGGCAATCGATTGAAAACCCCACTTCGTGGTAAAGCTTCCGCCGGACGTTTTCGAAGTTATTTGGCCTTTGGGATTCAGGAAAAGGAAAAGCACGAGTCTTTTTTGGATGTTATGGACGAGAAAGAATCAATTTTGGGAAACAATAGCATTGAAGATGTTAGCTGGCTTTGTTCCCTATCAGAATCTGAGCTTGTGAGTCATTCTTTCATCCCTTTTCTTCTTCCTTTTGGTTTTTAAAGTCTCTGCCTTCAGAAGAAGGCTACTATTAAATAGATTTATGAACAAAAAGGAAAACGCAGAACCCAGTTCTTTTCTTTTTCTTGGGTATGAAAATAAATTTCGAAGTTAAATTCTTGCAGGATATGCTTATAAGTGTAAAGATGCTAGTCATTCAACGTGCCAAAGCAATTGGACATTATGAATTAGCAGAGAAATTTGATCTCAAGATGCTTCGTGCCCTTGGTATGTTTTCCTTCCATAATCTCATGCACACATCTTGTATTTTTTACCAGGAATGTAGAGAGCTATTGTCATCTTGTCTATGTTTGTGCTGATCGTTTTGTTTGTTAGATTGAATTTAGTTCTCTAGTTTCTCCTGGATATACTTCATAAGTTTTGGTACTGTTAATGCTACTAGAAGCTGCTTATTGCTTGAAGCCTTTATTAACATTTGCTTACTGCCCAGTTCCAGATTACCTCCTATAGAGAATTATGTTAGACTTTCTATATCTTATTCTTGACTTCCTGGGGACTCATAACGTTCTAATGTGGCATGCATAAACTTTAATCTGATTGAGTTTTGTTTGATTTTATGGGCCTGAGATGCTTTAGCTAACTAGCTGATCTTGTCACTTTGCAAGTAAAGCAGGCAGTAATGGTAGTAATTTTGGAAAGGCACTCTTTACTTGTATTAAATTTTAGCATGCCGGACTTTAGGGGATGCTTTGCCAGTTTTCTGGCTTAGACTTGAAAGGTGAGTAAAACAGCAAGTTTTGCAGATCTTGTAATGGGAACTCTGTAGGGTTTGTATAACTCCTCTGTCTTTGCTTTGTCTTAGGCTTGTGTGATTGATTGTACACTGTGTTAATGGACTATATGATTTGGTGGATCATTGAACTTTATTCTCAAAGTTTTGTATGTTGCTCATGTAATTAGTTGTGTTTTGAATTTTTCTTTTCAGGGTTCGTTTTAATGGAATATGTCAAAGAGAATGTTAAGGATTTGTCTCTTATTCCGGGTCTGACTGAGTCTGGTGCATTTATGGATGGTTGCAATTTGTTGAACTCTAAGCTTCATAATATTATGAGTATTGAAGAGCTAAAGACATTTATTGTCATGGATTCAAGAAAGAGACCTTCCAAAAGGGATGCCTTTGATAGTTAGGATTGAAGACTTTCTTGATTATTGTTTTGTTTTGGATGGTCATTTCTTTTTCTTCCTACTGGCTTTTTGATAGTTTGATACTTAAAGAGAATTTATAAAATGTTCCTAAACCAGTAAGCACAGAAATGCCTTTTCTATTGTCACCCAAGTCGTTTTTATTTGTAACTGAAGCATTTTTGGTAATCTGTTGTTTCATTCTCTATGATATATTTGAAACATCCTTTTACATGTTTGTTTTTATATGTCGTGTGAAGACCGCGTGAGAATGATGTTGTCAATTAGCAGTGGAAGAAAACTTAAATCAGTGAGGAGAAGCATAAAGCTGCCAGTGAAAGATCAGTAAGCCCGATAAAAGTCAAGTTAGAACACCCAGAAGCAAAGATATATGGTCGAGGCTATTGCTTGAAGCCTTGAACTTTGATATGAAATGGCAATACCTTTTGCCGTAACAACAATTTATTATTTTTTACCAGTCATATTGTTTTATTTTCCATATGTGAAATGAAAGAACTTCCATTGCTTAAATCATGTCCACCAATGGCAGGATAAGTTCCAACATTGTCCTAATAACCCTTGTTCAGCCTGTTCATCAGAGGCCTGGTTTTAGCAGCACCTTTGCGTAAATGGGATGGCTGGTTACTTGGTTATTTGATTTGAAATTTTGAATGACCTAAGGCAAGTATTTCTGTTGGACTGAACTGTAAACTCAAGGGCCGAAGGGAGTTGGGCCTAATGCTCTGAGGCCAGATCACAGTCTAAGAAAGTCTTGCCCTGGTAAAGGTCATTACCATAAAAAAAAAGGAAGGCAAAAAAGGGGCAAGTTTTCACTGGTAAAGGTCTCAGACGTGGGGCAGGAAAGACCGAAAGGGTGTCCACTTGAATAATGTCAGGCCATCAAATTCAATACCTCCATTTGAATGTTGCCTGGCTTGATGAAACTGAGATCTCATGATGAGGCTCATGGGATTCCTTGGGGGGACAAAAGAGGGGGGATGATGAGGTGCAGCCAAATAACTTTGGATAAAAACAAGCCTTTTTGAGGATATGCAAAACCATTTCTGATTTTCTGCATTCTCTCTGCTTTTCTCAGAGAGGAGCATGATTTTGTTGTTGGCCATGCTTTGTTTGTTTGCACCTAACAGGGCATGGCAATAAAGTATACTGAGGGACCCCATTGTCCTCTAAAGAACTTATAAGAGGTGTCATTTCTTCTTTTCTTTAATTAGCCCACAAATTCATTATCCCCAACAAAAATAAAATAAAATAAATACACACAAATTTTTTTTGAAAGGCCCACTTAGCCTCTGCAAACGAATAGAATAATCAGACAAATTTTGGAGAACAATCAACAAAAATACATTGCTTAAACAAGTTAAAGATGCATGATAGGGGATATAAAGATTATAAGTCCACTTAGCAATAGAAATCTCTACCGAAGTCAAACTCATCATGTCATATATCAAACAATCCCCCCATGCTTTACAACCTCCAAAGAAAAAAAGAAGATAGCATAATTTTAAAGTTTAGTTCAAAAAGTTTGATTAGAGGCCAAAGAATGATTAAAGATATTCCACCTTGTTCCCCACAACACACCTAATCATACTTATAAATTTGCTCTCTTCATCCTTTGTACACTACTTTTGACATATTCACTACCATCCACGATTCACATAAAATGTTGCATAATACAAATTCAACACAAGTTGAAAGATATATCAGGTGAAAGTGTGGTTATCCTGTGGTTATCCTACTCTACTATGTAACGCAATTTTGTATATTTTTTTGTCTCATAATAATAATTGTTTTTTAATTTTATTTTCAAATTAAAAATTTAAAGACAATTTATATTTTTACATATATGACCTAAAAAAAAACAATAAAGAGACTTTTTTTTATAATAAAATGAATAATTAAACTTAAAAAATAATGATAAAGTTTGAATAAAAAAATATTTATCTCTTTAAAAAATAAAAAATAACTATGAGATAAATTTTAAATAAAAAATATTTATCATTCAGAAACAGACGGAGTATAATTTAACAAGGTGACACCAAGAGTCATCATCATGAGATAAGGCTGTACAGAAAAAATATGAAAGCAAGGTATAGAGGTTGAGTGGTATGTGAGAGCAGAACAAAGTATGAAAATGAATTAAAAAGTAGAAGGTGGCAAGACATGCAAGGGAATCTTATCGTATCATAATTTTGCCTAAGATTATAAACATTATGTCGGTAAAAACATTAAAAAAAAGGCCCTAATCACTTTTAATTTCAGTAATTAACAATATATGGATTTTGCTTAAGCCTCAAGGCAACACTCTCAATTAATCATGTTATCTCCCAATAACAGATCATTAAAATTTCAACTTTTTTTTTTTCGTTGTTGATAATCATTAAATTTTCAACTTTGAGTAATAATCTCTCATTATTACATCATACATCTCCTGATTGACTTTGTGGATCTTTTATTTTGTTACATCACATCAAATTTCCTTTTTTAATTTTTGTGGTTTTGTTCATGACAAGATGCGGGCAGGAAATCTTAGCATAGAAAATCTTGATGATATTAGTTCACTCTATATATATATATATTCTCCTTTTAAATATATAATTAGCTATTAAAAAGTAATTAGGTCACGTCTAGTTGATGCTATAAGATTCTCTATACAATGACATAGAATTTTTTTAACTTATATTTTAAAGATACATGTTAAAAATTTAAAAAAAATAAAAAATAATATTTAATTTATTAATTATTTAATTAAATTTATTTACATGAGATTATTTTTATATTTTATATACAAATTTATTATTAAAAAATATCTTTAACCTGTCTGGTAGAGAAAACCAATAATATAAAGGGATTGTTAGATACTATCTACAGATAGAGGCGGAGAATAAATGCCGTGATGGTTTGTGAAAATTATTTGCATTTAAATGATAATAAAAAATTTTAAATTTGTATTTTGAATATAATTCATTTTATTATTTACTTCTCAAGCCAATTTCAATAAGTTGATATAAAATAATTGTTGTTGATTGTATATCATTTTTAATTTATCATATTTACTGTAACTATGAATTTTTTGCTGCCCGATGATGTGGTTTTTATATTGTTTCTTTCTACTACTATTTGCTAATTTATCCACACAAATCAGAGAAAAATTACTAAATTTTTACAATTTTCATGAGAATCTTCTCTTCTCCATGTGAGCGAATAGTAAAGTCATTTCATTAGAAAACTCAGTTTTTTATTTTCATTTCTTTGAATGCACCACTTAACACATGATTTTACTCTATTATATTTATTCAAGTTTTATAAAACTTGGCTTATAGTCGCGGAAGCGACAATATTTTCTCCCTATACACACGAGAAATCTACATCAATTCTTTACTAATTACATGTGTGAAATGCATAACATAGATTATAGGAGAAGGTATTTTGGGAGACCAAAAGAAGCAGAAATTTCCACTGGGACCCCTTGTGCTTTGAATTTCATGTCTGTTTTTTTTAAGAATTTCTATGAATTTGAAACTCCGGTTGGCGGTTGCTTCTCTGTTTTCTTCTTTCTTGGTGGAAAGCTTCGCCCCTTTTCTTCACCAACCCTTAGGGAGATGCTTCTCTTTTCTCTTCAACGGTCGACGATGTGTCCAATCCGGTTGACTATCTAACGGTCAAGATACAAGTTTGACCAAGATCATCACCGTTGAAATGATATCCCTAGCTTTGATAGGAATGGTTTTAATTAATATCTAGGAGAAAAAAGTTAAACTTAGCCGCCCTACCTTCTCTCACCTTAATTTTTTCGTTTTTCTCTTGGGTTTTTTTGTTTTTTCTTCCTTAACCAATAATGTCTCTCTCCCTGTTGACAGTTAGGGTGAATAGTTAAAAGTATGAGGTTTCTCCTCTCTTGTAAGGGTTTTTCTTTTCTGGTGAAGGTTTTTCCCATCTAACTTCACTTATTCCAAGGTCCTTAGCTAAATTTTTTTGCATTAACCAATTTATTTTTTTGTGTAGATGGATTCTATTGGAGTGTGGCTTAATTGCGCAATCTTGAGGTCAGGTTTAATTACGATATTTATGTAGGCATTAAGTTATAATTTTACATTTTCACACATGAGTGTTTATGGTTTTCATAAATCAATGAAAGAGGAGAGATCCACTTAAAATCTTGATAATTCGTCTTTCTATTTTTAATTATTGAGATTTATCATGATTTTTTAGATGAAAAAGATAATTATATTTAATAAATATAATAAAAAATGAATAAATCTTAATCATTAAAAATAAAAAGCTAAATTATTAAATTTTTATTTAAATATAGTGTGTAAAATTTACACGTAAGTGGATTCTAACTCTTAATGAAAATCTATATCTCATCAATATATATATAGGAGAGGAAAAAAAGAAGATAGAATCAATAAAGATTTTCGGTGTGTTGCAGTTCAATGCAGTCCCTCCTGTATCGAGGAGCCTCTTTTAATAACTAGTTAATGTTTTATAGTCCCATATAGTTTTAATTACAAGACACCTTTTTTTTGTTTTGTAATAAAATGATTGTTATATTTCCACTTACTGCTTTCATAGACTTCGAATTTAATTTTGCTGGTTCCCCTAAAGGCAGGAACAAGTGCAGTAGTTTTGGCTGTCTAATTTCTGTTGATTTCAGGTGTTAGTTTAATTATATTTACTTTGGAGCTTTAAAAGTAAGTATAATAAAGCAACTAAAGATCAATTAAACAGTTGATGTTAAGTAACATGTTTTCTAGTTCCCTACTGAAGACTAAACCTACTACTCATCTATTTTACAACAACTGTCGTTTGACTTCTTTTTTTTTTCTTTTTTTTTTTGTCGTTTGATCTTTTTACATGTAATTTTAATTTTAGATGATATTTTTATATAATATATAAATAAAAAATAAAAATTTTTTATCAAGGAAAATTACTCAACAAATATTACATATAAAATAATTTCAGTTATCAGTTATATACTATATAATAATATCAATTAAAATTATGTGTTAAAAACTCAAACTATAGATATTATAAAACAAAGAGATTAGTGTGTGTGTATATACACACAATGTCAAGTGTGTCAAGCAGACTTTTGATTAGCTTTAGCATGCGGGCCTTGATTATATTATAGTCTTAGATTTTAAATCAATGGTTGACTTAAAAAATTTAACAATAAATTTTGATTTCTATTGATGATTGAAAATCTTTGATATATTTAAATGCCTGTGGAGCTAGCCATGGGGGGGGGGGGGGGAGATTTGGCAGTTGGTTACAATTCCAACTACCATACATGATGAAGAAGGCCCAGCAAAATTGAGGAAATAAGAAATAAACATGTGGTAAAGAAAAGAAAATGACATGGTACCAAATCCAAATGCAATACAAATTAATGATGGCAATTCCCTATACCGACTTGTGTTTTCTTTATTCGGTGCTCTCAAAAGAAACGATAATAGTATTGGTTTTGACAAAATGGTATTAGGAGGACCAGAGTTGACCTATATT